GACTTATATTTCTTAATGGAGCCTCTGAAGAACAGAAGTTTATGTATATAGTTTGATTTTTTGTTCAGATTTTCTATTTCATTTTGTGTCATTTTGGTAAGATAAGTTTTTAAAAGGAATTCATCCATTTTGTCTAAGTTGTTAAATTTATTGACATAAAGTTGTTCCTAAGATAACCTTATTATGCTTTTGATGCCTATAGGATCTCACTCTGTTCAATCATGATATTGGTAATTTGTGCTTTCTGTCTATTTCTTGATCAATCTGAGGTTTATCAACTTTTTCAAAGAATCCAATTTTTGTTTTTAAAAATTTCACAATTATTTGTCTGTTTCTATTTCATCAACAGGAATCTTTATTATTTCCTTCTTTCCTCCAACTTTGGGTGTAATTTGGTCATCTTTTTCTAGCTTCTTCAGGTGGAAATCGCCAGAAGGGGGCAATAGGGATAAGAGCTGCTTCCTGCAGTTACTAATAGTTGGGGTTACTTCAGGATACCCTTTTTGTTCTTTTAGCTTTCCAACATCTGTGTGATCAACTCTCTGTATGAAATCTCCTCTGCCGGAAGTATCTGGTATGGTTTTGCTTTTCCTGACTGGACTCCGATTGTTATACATATAAACTAGCATTTCACACAATGCATTCCAAAAAATATTAGTCCTGTGAAATGCTCATGGGTTCTCTGGTCTGATGAGTCTGGAAAACGCTACATACTTAGATCTTCCCTTTTGAAGATTCTCAATGCATATGACCATATTAAAGGCTATAGAAGATTATCGTACAGCAATTATTCTCTCTTTGTCCCCACATCCAGGGGAGAAGTTTCCCTGTGATTCCCGGAAGGTTCCCTGACCCATTGATGTTAGGTTTGGTCATGCAACTTGCTTTGACCGATAGAATGTGGGTGGAAGTAACAGGGTGCCAATTCCTAGTGTAGACCTTAAGAGGTATTGTATATTTCTAGTTGCTCCTCTGGGAGCTTTTGACCTCCATGAGAAGAATGTGCCCCAGGTAACCTTGCTAGCCAACCTGCTTCAGAGACAAGTGGAGCAGACCTGAACTCACGCCTAGCCTTGGGCAGAACTGCCCTATCAGACCTACAGACTTGTAAACAAGAAATGAATGCTCACCACTGTGACTTTGTGGTGGTTGTTATGCAGCAAAAGCTGATTAATACAAAGGTTCCAAGAACCTGCAACAAACACCTTTACCGTTGTTTAGCTTCTCATTTCCCCAAACTTATTTGATCATAGAACCTTATTTTATTCCATAGAAAGCACTTTGGGACTAGCGTTATAAACAAACCACTTGATAGTGATTATACTCCAAAATAAAATTATTAGAATTTAATTTTGAAAAGAGGCACTCCTTGCAATAGAATTCATTACCTCATCAATAGAGTCATTCACTTCTTAAATTTCTGGGAAGTATACCAAAAAGGCATCCTAAGATTGATCACATTAACATTATTAATTATACCTTCTACTGAGGGCACCAAGGTAATCTGATATACTTAGAAGGGTTGGGGAAACTGAAACATTATTAGCTTCAATACACTTTTGCCCCTCTCTCTCCCTCCTTCTCTCTCTCTCTACACACACACACGAATTATAGCTTTACTCTTACACGCTTTAAATATTTTTCCATCAAAACCTTAGAACTGCTGATGAGCTCATTCATTTTATGGCAAATGTACACCACATAATCTAATTGGCAAGATCAGCCCTCATTGTCATCCCAATCAGCCAAATTAGATTTAATTTCTATTAAAAAGAGACTTTTTAAAATTATTATTTATAAGAATGATAATATGCATTCCCAGGACATATTTATTTCTGAGTCGTAGCCCAGAGACTACCAGGTAAGGCACAGAGCCTTGCCATGAATTTGATGCTTGAATGAAATAAGACGCCTTCACTTTCGATATTTCTTATCAACCCTCTCTTTGCTTTGCCCAAAGGGACATTTCCTCAGAGAAGACAACAGTCTGAGATTGAAGAGATGTGGGTGTTAAATGAAGTGTCATCACTCCAACTGCCTCACCTTACGAGATACTGGACGTGAGAACTTCCCACCCCAGGCCCACCTTGCTACCACCACCGTGACAGGATTATGTGTGGGACGCCCTTAGACACGGAGCCTGCAGTGGGGCCCTGGTGCCAGACACCGATGTTTCTAAATGTCCTTTTGTCTAGTACCTACAGGTTTTTCCAGCCCAGAGCAACATACCACAATAAAATTAAGGATGAGTTAGACTAAGGCATGTCTTTCCTCTGCCTTAGTCTAAGTGGGAGAAAGGCAATGTCAAAGAGCAGGTGGGAAGGGGCTGGCCTGACATCGCCGCTCACAAATTTTCAGGGCAGATCGGTTTTAGGAAAGAGTACACGTCAAATCTGGGAACAAACTATCTGTGCCCAGGGACCCCTTGGAAAATCTTCTTGTACCCCCGGGTGAACACATATCCCAGTCAGAAGTATTATACTATTAAAATACAATCACATCTTAAAATTTCTCAAGATGAGGAGCCATTTTGTGCATTTTTCTTAACCAACCATTATAATTTTATTTTAAAAAAAAGAGAACCATCTCTAAGTTTTCGGGGGTTTTTTAGATAATTTATTGCTAAATGAAGAAGTCACAAAGCAAAATGGAGTGGGACAGGTGTCAAAGATAAATTTAAAAAATGTTTTTTGTCAAATACTATTCTGGATTTCCTAAGGTTAGAAACAGGAAAAGTATCAAACGAAAAGGTATTCATTCTTTTTAAAAGGTCTGTGATTTAAAAAGAAGACAACTTTTCTCTGAAAATACAAATCATCCTTATTACATAAAAGACATAATTTAAGAGTCTGAGAAAACAAGACTTTTTAATTAACAAGTAAACTGTATCTCCCAGATAGACTTTGGAATGTTTGTTTTTAATCAGTGAGTTTTAAAAATCATTGCTCCCCCTTGTAAACTAACGTGAACCCACCATTGACTGAGGTCATTTGATCCACTCTGAAGTGTCCCATATGTCTTCATGTGCTTCCTTTTCTGCATCTTTCAGCAAAGCAGGTTTGGAGAAAAAGAAAGGATTTGAAAGAACCACTGTTGGTTCCCTAGTGAATAACTTAACGAAACAAAACCTGCTTTTGGATTCCCATTACACATTCACAATTGCTCACTTCTACTTGCTTTATTGAGATATTTCAGATTCTCTCCACATCTAGAATGATTTGCCTGAACTTAACCCAATTCTCCTAAAACAAAAAATCTCACGTGGACGTCTCAAAACATTGCTGTATTCCCAGGCCGAGCCCTCCCACCTCTCTCTCCTGCCATGCTGCCCAAAATATTGTTCTGAGCTCATTCTAGTGTCCCCACAGGCCAGAGCAGAACCTCGGGAATTCCCTCAACCTAATTTAAAAATTACATTTACCACTTGTCCTAAATGACAAGATTATGAAATCAGAGAGAAAAATCCATTTTTATCAGTAAATGCCGTGTAATTTGCTCTTCCAAAAGCAGGAAGCATTTGTTGCTCTGCACCATGAGTGAGGAGACTATGGGGTCCCAGAGTGCCCCCTCGAGGGGTCCCCGCTGAGCTTCACTCTGGTCACCTTGGGCCCACGGAGCCGACTGCCCGCTCCACTGAGGGGATGCGTCCCATCAGTTAGGCGCTCGACAGACTAAACACTATTAAACCTGAAGAGGATACCAGACAGTTTGGCTCTCCAGGCCTCCAATGACTTTAAATGAGAGTGATTATCATCACACCTGCTCTCCTCCGAACAAAAGTCCCTGCTGTGGCTCCAGGGTGCCCACAGAGCCATCGCTTCGGCTTTCAGGACAGGCGGAAGCCATCAACAGAAACCCGGAGATGCAGCGGGAGTCGAGCTTACAATACGCTGTAACCCTCGAGCACTTGAGATAATCTGGATGTATTCAAAGGAAATACCCACAGCCTGTTCAATACCGGAAGAGAAAAAGCCATCTGCCACTTTCTTCACTCAAAACCCACAGGGATTGACAGGAAGAAGTGAGGGCTGGGGTGAGGCAGGGCAGGCAGGGGGCTGAAGTCCAGGGGCGGCCCGGCCACCGTGCCCTCCTGGCCCAGCCTCATCCCTATTTCTGTGGCCCATTCGGCTGAATTCACCAAGTTTCTTCAGCTCACACTCAACACCATGATTGTCACTTACCCTAAAAGGAACGCTTAAAAGAAATAGGTACCATCACGACAGCAGCCGGGTTTGGGAGTTTGGCCTGTGACATCATTCCCTGTTCTGAATTCACCTTTGCTTCACCTGAGGGGGCAGATTTCCTCGCTCTCTGGCTTAGACCTAAGGCACTGGCAGAATTCCTGTGCAGTGTTGACACAATCGAGGTCCTCAGAGCAGCTGACCCAGGGCACCCCGAGAAGACCAACCTGATGAACCAGATCACCAGAAACATCGACATCCCCCTCTTCCCAGATGGTGTCAAGTCCTAGGTATGGCCATAGGTTCCCATTGTGAGTGAAACCCCCCTCACCGAGTCCCAAAAAATGTTTTTCCTAAGCACTTTTTAAAATACCATTTCTCTCAAAGGGGCCTTCTGCCATGTTTTGCCTTATGAAAAAACAGGAAAGTATTTGGAAACCCCAAAATACATATCAGGAGAGTTACACAAGCCTGTGGAGACGTTACTAGATGCCAAGGGTGCGAGGCGCTTTGCCAGAGCCCACGTTGGGAACCAACCGGTAGAAGGAACCAGAACGGGAGCTATTGCTCCCAGACCCAGCCATCAGTAGACCTGACCCTCCTGAAGAAGTGAGAACAGGGTGAACTTTTTCTTTTCTTTTGTTTTTTTAAGGCATCTTATATTGCAGTTTGGGGTTTCTCGATATCATGAAAAAGATTTAGAGAATTCCAAGAGTTTTGGTTAACAGGAAATACAAATGGGAACGGAAATAAAAAAAATGGAATGGAAGTCAACTCTGCACAGATTGAACCCACATGGGTGTCACAGCTTACGGAATCAGCACCACTTTGGTGCTGTGAAGACACCCAGGACTGAAATTTCTTAAAAGTCACTTTTTCCATCCCAGAGATTTTCCCGCGCTCTTCCTCGGAGAAACTGACCAATGGAAGAAGAGCCTTCCCTCCCCCCCATTTCAAATGGTGGCCATTTTCCTTTCTCTCTAGTCGACTTTTTATTTTCTCATCAAATTGAGACTTTGGGGAAACTACGTAGCAGCCAACTAGAAATCTACTCCTTTTAAAAACAATTTGAAAAATTTTTTAAAAATCAAATTCTCTCAATAATTATAAGATGCCAGGATATTATTTTCTTCCCCAGGCTGGGCTGAGAGGTATCTCTAGGTTAGACTCCTCGGGGGCCAGCATCACATGCGAGGGCAGCAGTGGCCCCACCGGACCAGGGCTGCGGCGGAGCTGGTCCAACCCCACCCGCCCGCTCGAGTCAGCACTCATCCGAGAGGTAATCGCCGCCCACGAACTCCGTGGCTTCGAGCTCCACGCTGGACAGAAACCTCCTCAGCATCTTGCGGCAGTTGTAATCCAGGGTGGTGGTGTAGACGGTCTTGGGGTACTTGGGGTAGACGATGGTGGTGCTGAGGAAGCGGGCGGGCTTGTGGCGGGGCTCGAAGCGCACCTCAGCCTTATAGTTGCGCCATGTGCAATTGGGGATGCAGGTGACCGTCTGGCTGCAGGAAGCCACTGCCAGGCCCAGGGGCAGGTGGACGTCGTCAATGAAGTGCCGCTCCGAGTCATACTTGACCGAGGAAGTGTACCTGGGTGGGAGACATAAGGCGGCATGAACCCACTCTTCTGAGCTAGGGGCACGGGGTTCCCCACTGCGACCTTGAACGTCTCGTAGGCTGCAAACCTTGAGATGCGGTACTCAAGTCAGAAGACGCACAGAGCTGTAGAAGCGCTTCCTGTGTGGTTCTCTTCTAGGCACTTTACTTCCAGGATCTAATTTAATTGTCTTAACATCACCGGGAGAGGAATCAAGGCGCGGAGGGTAAGGTCGCAGTGGGAGTGAGCAGAGGGGCTGGGATTTAAATGCACCTGTGCAGTTTTGCAAAGTTCACCCTGCACTCACTGTTCCGCACTGCAGGCAGCAGCCCCCATTTACTGAAGCTATGAGAGCTCGGTCAGGTGACTTGCCTTCTCCAAGCCTCAGTTTCCTCTTTCTGTAAAAGGTGCCCAATAATAACTGGGCAGCGTGTTAACGTAACAGCAAGTGCAGTGGGTGGAAATTATTATGTACCAAGGTGGATTCTATTGCTCCACTAGGTGTGAACAGTTTCTCTGTCCCCTGAAGTGATCAATCAGCTCTTTAATGAGAGGATGAAGGAACCCAGAAATCCTGAGTGCTAGTTCTGAAAGTTTGCTGATACCAAGTACTAGTACTTGGTCCACTCTGACCTTCAGTTTGGAGACCTCTCAGAGCCAGGGACTTTGAGATCTGACCTTATCAATTAAAGCCAATTAAAATCTTGATTTCCATAAAATAAATTAATATCCATGTTTCTCAGCAGCTATTTTATTCTTTTTAAGTCCTTCTTTGGTAATTTGGGAGTTAATTTTTTTTTTATGTAAGCAAAGCATTAGTTCATTTTACTGCATAATTATTGCAGCTTCACAAGTACTAAAATGCGTATGGGCATCACAAATAAACACATCTAACAGCACTGCCCCCACCTGCCCCTACCCACTGGTCAGGGAGGAAGAATCAGCATTCCTTTCAATGAGTCGGATGGAATCGTCTATTTATCCTTGGGCAAGCAGTTAAGAGGCCGGTGGAAGCTAATGTCATGAAGTGATGTCCTCATTTTGTTCAAAATACAAGTTCCGCAGGAATAAAGGGGCTGAACTGCTCACCTCCAAACTGGGGAGCCTCCTTTGTTCCACATCAAAGGGCCCTTTGTGTTAAGGCAACTGAAACTCCAGCTATAAAACCACCAGCTACCAAAAGTAAAATTCCTTCCTCTAAAAAGACACATCTTTAGGGGAGCCTCTCAGTGAATCTCTGCCCCCAGATAATCCTGCATGAGAGAAATTCCCAAAGGAAGAATGGGACTTGCCCAGTGGAATTATAACATGAGACAAGGTTACAGCACCTTGAAACAGGGATGGGGTGTGGAGTTGGGGTGGGGAAGTCGGGGGAGAAGCTTCTGGAAAGAGAAATTACTTTATAACAAAATCTTAAACATCTGATAGCCATGATACATGAAGTGCAAAAAACAAGTTACAGGACATTATGTATAACACGATCTCGTGTGTTTTCTGTTTTTTGTGAGGAAGACTGGCTCTGAGCTAACCTCCATTGCCAATCGTCTTTTTTTTTTTTTTTTTTTTGGTGAGGAAGATCAGCCCTGAGCTAACATCCAATGCCAATCCTCCCCTTTTTGCTGAGGAAGACTGGGCCTGGGCTAACATCGGTGCCTATCTTCTTCTACTTTATACGGAACGCCACCACAGCATGGCTTGACAAGCGGATCATAGATCCGCACGTGGATCCGAACCTGCGAACCCCAGGCCGCCAGAGCGGAGCGCGCGCACTTAACCGCTACGCCACCACGCCGGCCCCAATATGATCTCATGTTTATTTTAAAAACTGTCTAGGGGTCGGCCAGGTGGCGCAGCGGTTAAGTGCGCCCGCTCCGCTTCTGTGGCGGCCCGGGGTTCACAGGTTCCAATCCGGGGCGCGCACCGACGCACCGCTTGTGGAGCCATGCTGTGGCGGCGTCCCACATAAAGTAGAGGAAGATGGGCATGGATGTTAGCCCAGGGCCAATCTTCCTCAGCAAAAAGAGGAGGATTGGCATTGGATGTTAGCCCAGGGCAAATGTTCCTCAGCAAAAAGAGGAGGATTGGCATTGGATGTTAGCTCAGGGCTGATCTTCCTCACCAAAAATAAAAACTGTCTACATGTTTAATTGGTTAGAATGCAGAAAAAAATCCGAAAGAGTACCAACCAAACTGTGAGTAGTCTTTGGCACACTTTCGCGATTAACTAATTTTTTTTTAATAACAAGCGTTAATTTCTGGAAAAAAAATGAAAATTTAAAAAATAAAATCAGGGCCCGTTATATTTACCTCACTTCCGTCGGCGGTAAGGGGTCAAACTCCACTCCTTCGCCAAAGGACAGGGGGCATAACCTCGGCGAGCAGGCGGAGGCCGGGGGGTTGGGGAGAGACGCTGGATTCTGCGAGGATGGAGAATGCAGTTAGACCACCGGCTAGCCGGATGCATCTCCCACAGAAGGGCCTGGCTCTGACCCTCCAGCTGATGGGCCAACTGCCATCTGTGCCTCCTCCAGGGAATGATGCCAGAGAAGGGCTGACCCACAGCACGGGGAGAGCACGGGACAGGGAGCCAAGCGGTCTGGGTTCAAAGCCCAGGTCTATCACGAATGTGCTGTGTGCCCTCACATCGCACACCCTCTGACCTTATCTGCACACCAAGGGGGTGTCTCCTTCCATCGCAGAGGTTTTGTGGGAGGATGAAAAGAGGAAACAAATGCGAGCTCAGCGTCATGACCGTGCCCAAGCTCCGGGGCCGCCGCACCATGCCGCAGCAGGGCGGTGAGACACCCTCGGTGAACTGGGGCTTCATTAACCAGACCCTCAATTATGTGCCCCCAACCCTGTCATTGTCTCAGCGACGCTTTAGAAAAGGCCAAAACAAAGAAATTCCAGCAGGGATTTTTTTACACTGAAGATTCAGTTCAACTCCCCCCACCTCCTCTGCCTCTGGGGCCCCCGGATCAACGCCCAACCAAGATGGAGGGGTCCGCAAACTCATGGTGAGAGGAACACCAAACACGATCACCTCCCGCTATCCAGAGAACTCAGAGCCAGAGCACAGCAGTCCTTGAGGGTAACGGGCTTCCTGCCTGTCACAGCTCCGGGCTTAGGTTCATCAAGCGGCCTGAGGAAGAGACAGCTCCGTCCTCCACACAGGCGCACGCCCCCCCCACCCCCCGCCCCCATTTGACTGGAATCAGGGCTTCTGTGTTAAGTGTGAAAAGACGAACAGAGAGCGGCCCTTTGGGTTGCCGGGTTTACTGGGGAACCTGTCATTTTCTTTGCCTAATTTGAGAGAAGGATCCACACCTGGGCCAGGGTGTGGAGGTGGCAGCCCCACTCCCGCATCCTCCAGGACAGAGAAGGAAGCAGACATTTCTAGCAGGTCGGCTCTAAGTTTCTTATGTTCCCAGGACACGGTGTCAAGCGGAGGTGGAGAGTGGAAGTACAAAAGCCAAAGGGGACCAGGGTAGGTCAGGCAGAGGCTGAGGGTCCTGAGGGTCCAGTGCCTGAACTTGGGTGGAGAGTTAAGAAGCCCCATCTGGGGGAGGGGCTGTGAGAACCAAGGTCAATGGGTGGGGGGAGGGGCATGGTGTGGGCAATGGGAGCTGCAGAGCTTCTGGAAACAACCCCCGAGAAGTGACAGTGGCCCTGCTCTCCCCCAGCTCTCTGGCTGCCAGACACGCCCCAACTAGGGGGCACCTTCCAGGCAGTCCTGGTGGCTGCAGGACGACATGGCCACCAAGGCCACTCCCCAACACTCACACTACAGCCTTCTTCCAGGTATCCGCACAAGCCCTCAGTTCTCTTGCCCCTGCCTTCTCTGCTCCCCCATCCTTGCCCACCCAACGGACAATCCCTGAGCACCAACCTTGCTCCAGGTGCAGGCTGGGGGTGGGGTGGGGGCAGCAGGGGTTATAACAGACACATGAACAAGGTGCCACCAGGGAAAGCAGACAAAGCCACAGACTCAGGCATGACTCTGGGAAGCATCCAGGAAGGCTTCCCAGAGGAGGTGACAAGTTGGGCATTGAAGGACTAGCAGGGCTTTGACAGGTGGAAAAGCCAACTTGGTGTTGGGAGAGGTAGGAGCAGATGGGCTTGGGGGTGGGGGAAGGCACATCAGGTGGAGGGAGTGGCATCAGAGGCACCACGTGTGTATCTGCCTGTGGTCAGAGGACGTGGAAGATGAGGCTAGAATGGGCCAGATGGCAAGGGCTCTGAAGGCCACGTTGAAGCAAGTGCCGCCTTCCAATGGAAATGAGAAAGTGCCCCGAAGGCCACTGAGAGACAGGGTTGAGGTCAAGAACTCCCTGAGCCATCAAAGCTTCACTGTGGGTCCTTCAGGAGCAGCAGCTGCCACTGACTCCATCACCCCACCCCCCACACCCCCGGGGAGAGGGCTGGAAACACCCATCCGCGGGGGAGGGGGGGAGAGGGCAGCTGAGAGCCCCACTTTGAGCTTTGACTGTCAGCAGGATGTGGCGTCCCCCGGGGCTCTAGGTAGAGGCGATAAACACCACCACCCAAGCGACTCCGAGGCAAGAGAGACTTGGTAGCATTTCTTCTTTAAATAAAAATTTTAAAATAAAAGGATTCATTTTTGAAATGTTCCACCCACCTAAAGGCCTCCCACCTATCATGTGCCAGACACAGTTTAGGTGACAGGACAAGGAGGGCAGGGGGGCCAGAGGCTCATGGGGTGACCCTTCTCAAAAGGTCTCCAAGGCCACTAACGCGGTCGCCAAAGGCGGGCCCCGTTTGCTTTGTGAGTCGGGGAGCTCGGCCACATTCCTGCTCGGGACCAGGCAGGGGGGAAAGCCCGGGGTGCCAGGCCCGCAGTCCGGGGGAGGCTGGGGTTCCCTCTCAGTGTCCCGGGACCCCCTCCAGCCCAGCCCGGGCAGGAATGTGGCCGAACAGCAGCCTGGCAGCCCGGGGGCCGCCACCCCGAAGGGAGGAGGCGGCGGCTCGCGTCTCCCGGGGCTCCCGCGCCTCCCAGGCGATGACAATTTTCCAGCCACCGGCTCCAGCTGGCCGGGCTCTCGCAGCGCTCCCGCCCCGGGCTCCCGGCGATGGCCACGCCGTCCCGACGGGCGGGTGGCGGCGCCGACAGCGAGCCCCGAGGGGGCCGGGACGACCGGCGGGTGGTCTCTCGGGGCC